CCGAATTCGAGAACATGCTGGATTGGTTGGCGTACGTCGTTTATGTCTCATACGACGCCAACAAAGATCGGTCTGTCATGTGGCTCACCTGAGAGCCAATCGATGAATGTCAGTAATCAGAAACTGGGTTCCACTGGGCCATCAACGTCGAGTCAGTCGACGATGAGGACGGCACGGCAGAATGATCCGGTGGCAAAATTACTTGGTCGGCGGTGGAGGCCGAAATTGGAAAATAAAGAATGTTGGAGGAGCGTCGACGCAGTACTGGTGCACGCATAATGAGGACAAGTCAGATGACGGATGACGGATACTTTCTCTGGGGCAGTTTCTGCAGAACAATCGTAATCATACTAATGAGGATGATGTTACCGGGAGAGGAACTTAAGAGTATTTTAAATTTTGCTTGCTAAGAACGAGACAGCGGTCATTACAGTTACTTCAGTCACTTTAGAAGGGCTCGAACACCCAATGACCCTTTTTCACTTCTGGTAAGTTTAAGTGATCTCTGTACCGTTACTGTAATCAACCTTGATTGAAGGACAGCGTTAAACGGCAATCTGCCAAGTAGTGAAATAATGGTGTATGACTGCACGTATTAGAAGCATTTCGTGTGATGACCCTGCACGCCATTTTCAAAACTCTAGCTCAGTTAAAGTATAATGCTTTCAGTTCAGTTCATCTGGTATATGGCAGACTGTAGTGTGTCTGACTTCTGACCGCTTGGCGCATCCCCGGGCTGCGGATATGGCAACGACATCCAGATATGGAAATTGACTGCATCAGACGGGCAGTAGGGGACAGGCAACGGTGAGACCACTATGGATTGGCTGGGTTCGAGATCGAGAGAGGCGATCCTCAGAGGAAAAGCCACGATGACTAATGGCAGTCTCATGGCGAGGTGAAAACAACCAGTCCCTTTCACTGGACGTGATTAGATGTCAGTTGGTGAAAGGTTAAAAAATAAGACGGAATTAGGGAGCCATCTGCACAAAATTTACCCGATTACCGTCGGCCCTTTCAAGGGTTGGCAACTTTGTACGCTATGGCAACAGGAAGTGTTGTGTTCGGAGTGATTCGTCGCCGAATACCGGCAGTAGAAGAGATTCGACCTTAACAAATGATGATTATTTGGGTGCATAAAAAGTAGTGCTTTGTTCTTCAGCAGCTACATAGACAGTGACTTATATTCAAACAAGATCTGGTTTGAGTGGTAAACTTCTGTTCATTTCGAAAAGTCATGTGATGACGGTCAATTATTCCGTGTTAATAATTTACAAGGCTAATATTAGGCTTTTTTCATCTATTCGGTGACGTCCGCTTTACAACTGTCAATGAATCACGTCTGAATACTTGAAAGGTTTGCCACAGGATGAGGTATCACATGATGTCTGTTTCTTCTCTTCGTTCGCTTAGCTGTCAGTGGCGTTTCGGCCGGTGTTCAGTCGTATGGACAGTTCTCATTGGCTTGCTGCTCACCGTCCAGATACCAGTCATTTCCATTTTTGTAACAGTAGAATTTTCACGGGTTCTTTCAATATGCTTACACCTGATGTCTCCCTTTGAAGACCGAATGAACTCAGTCAACAGATCGCCGATTCCAGCTTTGATCGGGTCAATCGTTTCAACGAATATTTCATTCTTTTGAGGTAAACAAATGAATGCCACTTTGTTAGGAGGAAACAGGCGACTTCGTATTATGCTGGCAACCTAGCAGTAGACATAGCATTAAATAAAAGCCCGTTGCGTACTCTTGACTGATGATATGGGAACGAATATTAATGCTGCGCAGTAGGCTCCATGAAACAGCAGTTATGCACACATCGCCCAATTATTCAAATATAAATAGACAGGCAGATATTTCACCCCGGCTATAAGGGTTTTGCGTTACTGCATAAAGTTATTTCGTTATAAATTCAACCGATGCACCAAGTATGGAGATTTTGTTGAGAATGCAATGGTGAGTGAGTATGGCAACTGAAATTGAGAAATTGTAGCGAAAGAGGGTGAAACTGTCAAACATTGCATGGGTTCAAGATCTTCAACCCTGAGCCATCTACATTTCGTAATTTTGCTTGGAACTTTATGCTTTGTTTAAAGTTGAGTATAAACATTGAGTACCTCGACAGACGCGGATTTTACGAGATAAAAGGGGGGCCAGCTGTTTGAGAGAACGCGTACAACGTAGATGTCTCGGCGCTGAGTCAACGCTTTGTTTTAACTCGTGAAAAATAGCTTTTTTGCCTCCAACAGCTGGTGCAGCTGCTCGCCATTCTTCACCACTTAATCGCCAATGTTTTTTACCTCAGTCTGATGTCGTGGTAGTAAATTTTCTTGTCTTTCCTGTTTTTAACTATTCGATCGATGTCTCAACGAAGCTCAGACGTCAAACCGAAACGCCGAATCAGATTTTAACAACGAAGAACCTTCAGAATCGTCGTCTACCAACGAAAGCTCGGCAATCGAACGAACGAAACCGTTTTAAGGAGAGAGCCATAGTCTAAAAAGCTGATTTCTAAAGTTTGTTGATCGGGCCCAAAATGAAGCCTTTTTCCGATCTGACCACCCAAAGGCTCGGTATATGCACTTTAAACGAACCGTTATTTTGATATATGCTAAGTGTTTATCAAGTTAACTTTATTGATTAATTTTAACAACAAAAAATTCACATCAAAATATGTTCGTACGAAGGAGTATGCCAAATAACGCATAACTCCTCCAAGACCAAATTTCAGGGCGTGTTGTACTACCTCATGGTCTTAGTTTCTAATGTCTTTAACGCGAATAGAAAACTGATTGGCACAACGTAAGAATATGATTGATTTAGCCAAATACATGAATGGTCGTTAAAACCCGAGTGTCCACACAACAACATCATCCGGGTTTAAACACTGTGCTAAATATGATACCGTATGGTCAGAAATGAAATGTGTTAAGGCCAGTTGCAGCCCTAAAAGACGTTCGCATCAGACACCAAAATCCTACACCTGTTCCATTCTGGCACAAGCACACCAGAATGCCAAGCTGCCCCAATTGTTCCCAAGTCAGTCAGTTGCTGTAGCCCCTTCTTGACTGGTTGCACAGCAACAAGGTGGGATGATTTGGATGATCAAGGGAATTGGCTCTTAGGAAAGAGTTATTTCTTTTTCCCCATTTGAACACTGGCTGAAAGCCGACCACTCAGCACTGTTTCACCGTCTTCCTGAAATGACCAAGACGGTTCTGTGCAGCTCTCATCAACAGATCGCAAACCAAGCGTGACCTGAGTACAGTTTGCGATCAAATCAAGCATTTCGAGGGATGTGAGGCAGTGCCAAACAATGAGGCGCAAGGATGTCAAAATTGAACAAGTCAGAAGTCAATTAATCGTTTGATTCAATATCATTCAGATTATCAGGTTACCTTTAAATCGTTAGGATTTTACAGGGAGTCTGACATTGAGTTATCGTTAAACCTCCCTCTTTTTATAAATTTCCCATCGAAATGTTCATCGCGTTATCAGAGCGCTATCCTTTGGCTTTAAGAAAAAATAGACCTTCGTTCAACATGTGGTCGGCGGCCAGAGAAACGAATGGTTGAACGGAAAGCAATAAACACTAATTACGTTCAGGTCATCAGAAAAGCCAGCAGGTTTTACAGTTGTTAGCATACCAAAGAGCGATCCGCTCAAATAACTTCTCTGGTTGGTATTAGAAAAGCGTTTCACTTGGTGTATTGGTTCTTTGACTGCTGATTGTAGCCAGCTGAGTACTTCGAGCTGTTAATTGCACAGAAATCTGACATCATCTACGGCTTATGAATCGATGCTCATTATGTCCAGGGAAAGAAATCAAATTCAAAATACTTAATACTCAAATGGTTTCTAAGGCTCATGTCCATAGCTTGCTGCGGATACGTGGCGGGTAGCAGGTTGACTGGTTCCATGGTTGGCAGGAAAAAATTATTTTAGTGCGGCCCACCTTAGAATCAGAAGACCTACTACGGAATATTTATTCAATATGTAATTCAAATATTGACCTCTGAAACCTCACTGCTGCAGCGATGACAATACATGAAACGCTTAAAGCATTTTATAAGTCCA